CCACAGTTTGAGAATGAATAGAATAGAATAGAATAGAATGTCTTTATTGTCATTATACAATTGTACAACAAAATTATTTGGCTTCACCTTAAAGTGCACACACATACAAGCATCCACAGCTAAAAACAACAAAAGAAGAAATTTAAAAAAAAGGTGATTTATAAAAGTGTGTCAGACAATAAATGGATTTGCAGCTTCAGGGCTTTTCTCTCTTTTAGAAACAATCACACTTACAGAAGAAGTGTGAACAGTTTTTATTCAAGCTCAGACGATGTATTTAGTTTGCATTTTCCTTGTTTTTCATTGTTGAACAAACAGGGCGACTGTAGCTCAGTGGTCGAGTCAGTTGTCTCCCAACCGGAAGATCAGGGGTTCAATTCCCAGCTCCTGTAGTCCACATGTCCAATTGGATTTGTCTGCTGGTGAGTGGGTGAATGTGACGTGTAGCCTACATGAGTATTAGCCCACCGTGGCGCTGATACAGTCGAGTGTGTGCTGTAGTTTGTTAACACACCACAGAGAATGGATGAGGGTTCAGGGTCCAAGTTTTCCTCTTGTCGATTTTGCATCGGGTGAGACTTCTTTTTCTGAGCGCTCTTTATTGAACAAACCTGAAAGTCATACTGGTAATAGAAGTGGGAAACAACTGCAAAACTTAACTAGTGAAATTTAAAAAAACGAAACCAAAACAATAACAGGCGCATTCTTAGTTACAAACTGCTGCTTTAAGATGAATGAATACTAAATGGACCTAAAGGCTTCCAAGGTCATCAACAAGCCGTCATAATCTCTGAATGAATATGAGTCATAGCAGGAGCACGTTGATAACATCACCTCTGACATCTAGTACTGTGTTGTTTTAAACAGCAGCAGCAGTGATGGAAGTCATTATATAATGTCTACAGTGTTCAGTTTTTTGAATACTTTATCTGTGTTATTGGTCCCTCTAGTGGTGACAGAAAGCTATAGCAGTTGATTACAGTTTTTTCCAATTGCTAACACACTAAAGTGACATGCATATCACAATTATTTAACTGACACACAGAGAGAGCAAAACCTCTTCTCAAGTCTCCAAAAGTCTAAACACATTTACTACTTTACACACATTTTGCAATTCAAAATGGCACTTTTTAAATGCACTGAACACGGTTCTCTGCATAAGACACAACAATCTGACATAAAGTCACATGTTTGCCATTTCAAAACCCTGCCATTCAAAATGACACTACATGAGCTAATTGGCCAACGTATGTGCCACCTGGCCAAACACCTCAACGGTTAATTGTTATCACTTCAATCAGGAAGTAAGCACTATGAAAAGATCACAGGTGAGCTCCTTTTTTTTTACAACAACACTGGAAGACTTTGCAGAGAGAGGAAGAGGAGGAGGGAGGGTGAGAATGAGAGGGAGAGGAAGAGGAAGAGTGAGATGTAGGGGTAGAGCTGATAGAGTAGTTCATGGCCAAAGAAGAAAACACCTTTCAAATGAAATCAGAGCAACCTTAGTTGATCATGTCATCAACCATGGGCTGACAATGCGAGAGGCTGAACAGAGAGTGCAGCCCAACTTGAGCCGTTTTACTGTACTGGTATATGTAGTACTGACTTGTTTGGTGAAAAATAAAAATATAAATGTTTTAACAGCATGTATGTGTATCTGCAAATATTTCTGTGCATGTGAACAATCTGAAGAATTTTCTACAATTCGAACTATTTTACTATTATGGCAAAGCATACTAAAGATGAGAGTGCTTTTCATTATGCCCAACAGTGTGAAGTTGGTCAGACAAAAATTTGGTAATATGAATGAAGTGTTTGCCATTTGGTGCAAAAGTTTAATTTTGATAATGCTATATGTAGTTTTGGTTGCAGTGCTTCATTTTGCAGGATATATGAGGTATTTTGCAGTTTGGGTGTGTGGTTTTGTGAATTGTGTTAAGTATTTTGATAAAACCAGCCTAGTTTGCAAAATTGTGTTTTAGCAATTGGAAAAAACTGTAAATTATAAGACCTAAACTTCTTGTGTTTACCCTGAGTGAAATACTCCAACATTTTGTACACAAAACTGAGCCGGAAACATCTGGAATCTCTGGGATCCCTGCTTAGATAACAAAAGAAACACTGGTAGGTTGTTTTAGGAACAATTATCTGCATTTAATTGCAAGTGAAACAATTTTTTTTTTTTTTGAGTTGTATTTCTGTATTTTAAAAAGAAAAGCAAACAAACATTAGGTTTTTTCTTGTTAATTTCTTGAATTAAAAGACTTCATATGTAGAACAATAAAAACCTGACACATCATTTCTGATTCTCATAGATGACAGGTGACGCTCCGTTGTGTTACTACAGGCTGGTTTGCTTAATATCATCATCAGCATCAGTCTTTACAGCCATGTTCTCATAACTCCGTCGTTCTTCATGCTCTCTGGACACAAGAAAACCACAAACAGACAGGTTACATATTTAGCCTTAAGACTGTTTGTCGGCAGATATCAGGAGGTTCAAAATATAATATTTAGAACAAATCTTTACAATATGAATATGTCTGTGTCCATACGTTGGCAAAAATTAGCAGAAATTTGTTAAAACACAACCCGAAGCCGTCGTCCCACTAGCCATCATTCTGACTGAACGAATGAAGGAGGGTTACGACTTTAATCTCAAAATTATTTAAAAATAATAATAATAATTTAACACGGCCCTAATCCTCCGTCGTAATTTTCTAAAACTATTCTTTGATCAAATAAATACTATGATTTTGAAAGTATCGTTCTCGTGTGTGTGTGTGTGTGTGTGTGTGTGTGTGTGTGTGTGTGTGTGTGTGTGTGTGTGTGTGTGTGTGTGTGTGTGTGTGTGTGTGTGTCTGACCTGTTCTTCCTCAGAAGTCTGTGAATAATCAAGATGGTGAAGACGATGAAGAGGAAGCCAACGACAGCTGTCAGACCGACCAGCCAGGGCTGAAGAGTCACCGACTGTGATCCTGCTGCTACTCGAATACCGGTCTGCACACCTGAACACGAGAACACACACACAGACCAATACATGTCGTGTGTGTGTGTGTGTGAGGCATTTTATGAGCAGAATAGATTGGAGTTTAGTCAAACTTTATCAGTCTAGAGACAGTCACATTGTGACGGACAGTGACACCTCGGAGAAATCTAAACATGAGCTGAGAAACTCCAAAAAGAACAAAATGACTACAATGACATCATGAAGAGTATAAAAGAGAAATGTCCCAATATTTGACAAAAGAAGGAAGTTTTATGATGAAAATATTCTAATCTTGAGAACAATTTTTCAAATACTTGAGACAAAAATGAAATCTTTCTTATTCCAGCAGTCTCACTAATACATCACAACATCAAAAGGGGTTAGGTCACGCCCCATGTACAGAGTAGGCAGCCCAGGTTCAAGTCCGACCTGCGGCTCCTTTCCTGCATGTCACTCCCTGCTCTCTCCCCATTTCCTACTCTATCCACTGTCCTATCAAATAAAGGCAAACAGCCCCAAGAATACAAATCTTTAAAAAAAGAAATACTGGAGGTAAACTTCTTATAGAATTGAACATTGTACCTTTGTTAGCTGAGCTGGTGGCAGATAAGAGCACACACATCAAGAGGAAAAAGAGAGCCATCCTTAGTAGACAAAATGGAGTCTGCACGGCACACTAAGACTGGACTTTCAGCTCACACACACCTCGCTCTTACACTGATGTCAAAGTTCACAATCCACAGGGAGGTTTCCAGCGCACTCCGGGTGTGTGTTATCTACTGATGAGCTATTCCTCAGAAGCATGAAGACAAACACAAGAGCTCAGCTGATTGTTGTTGTTTATTGTCTAAATAAATTACATTTCTGTAAATAACCCAGATGATCGTGAACACTACCACATACCACTAGAGAATTTAATTTAACCAAAGGTCAGCAAAGATGTGCATGTTTAACAGCCTGTTGCTTTTTCTGTTTCAGTAATTTAATAAGAACAAAAATGTGATAGTCAGCAAATTAATTTCTGAATATTTAGAGGGGATTCTTTTTTGCAATGACAAAAGTTATGAAGTAAGATTTAATGTTATTGGCCTCACCGTATGGCTCTTAGCATTTTAATGTATAGTGGCCTAGAGTTGATTTTTGTTAGCTGACATTTTAATGACAGGGATAAGTTAATAACAAAGTGTTTAAGGAGTTGTGAGAAACTTTCTGTTTGAGTTGCTTTGCGGCAGCAGTGGATAAGGCAGTGCATTGTATTTCGTTGCCAGTCCAGCCCTGTGTGTGCTTTCTTCTACTCTGGTAGGAGAAGGCTATGTTGGCCCAATGGCTGATTAACAAAGGCCTTCTATTCAATATAAAACTTCGACAGAAACAAAATGTATGAGTGTGTGCAAGGGCATCAGAATCTTAGACTCTTTAAGGGCCCTCCTGTGAGAGAGGGGCCCTAAAAGGTGAAATACTGAACTGCAGTCAGTGTGGGTATAGAAATTGCCTGTTTATTGTGCCAATCATTTTGTGCTATGCCCCTGGTCTTATGGGCAGAATTACAAAACTTCAAAATAAAACCAACGTTATGTAAATGAACCCATCTGTTACACAATTACATATTTTATTATCACGTGTTTCAGCATTTTTGCATTACTCACCACTGCACTTTTGTCTTATTTAGTGTTGTACATATTAGCCTTTGGCTATTTTGACTTTATTATGTTGTACTTTTGTACGTAGAGAGCACAGTTCACCAAAGTCAAATTCATTGTGTGTGTAAGCATGTAACGCTGCTGGTACAGGAGGTGTAGCTAGTTGGTACTAATATATTCTGACTGTTACAAGCATATCTGACCTGAATAATCAATCAAGCTGTGTGATTAATTTCAAGGATTAAACCAAGTTTTTTTTTCCTCTTAAAACACATCTTCCTAATTGGAAACCGATAACGAGGAATATTTTAGCATTGTTTGTTAAACTCTGGAAACAATACTTTTATTTTGAAGGATTTGGAACGGAAGAGGATTTTGTTCACTGCTGGCGGGCGGGACAGCTAGCCTACACAATTTGGGTTGTGGAGGTAAAAACCTAAGTTTGTATGAGGTGAACTCCTTTAGCTCACTGCTACAAGGAGGACTCAACATGTCCCGGTTCAAAAGAGGGACTAAGGCGGACTCTCTGGCCGGCTTCCGGGCGGACAGTCCCGACACCAGTCACACGGCTGTTCCTCACGGTCTGCTGAAGGCAGCAAGGAAAAGCGGTCAGCTGAACCTGTCTGGTCGAGGACTGACGGAAGGTAATCTTCACTTTATAGCTAGCTGGAATGACAAGGTTGGAAAAGAAAAACAAGTCCTGGCTCATAATGCTTAAAATCGAGCGAATATTACCTTATTAATACTCTTTCCCTTTAGGCCCCCATTACACGAGTGTTGTAGCCTACTGTTCTTTAAAACTCTACAAGATCCGGTTCTGTTGTGCACAGGTGTGTAACAGTGTTTTCACTCGCTCATCACTAACTCCCAGGTCAACAGCGATGGTTCTGGAGTAAACAGACAGTGACTCATGATGAAATGTAAATGTCAGGTCCAAAGTACTTATTAAATGTAAGTGCTCAGCATTCAAAATCCCACTGCGCAATGTGAGCAAGAATTTGATAAAGTAACGCACATATAAATACGTATATTTAAACTTCTTTGCACTACATGGAAGATGCATACTATGTCACACATAATCCTTTGCATTTGTTTGTCTGACACTGTACTCCACAGATAAAGAAAAAACGTAATCTTGTAATGTTCATCCAGTTCACCCTAGTTAAATTACAAATAGTGCACTAGTGGGTAATGTGTTCAGTCCTCTCTCTCTGCTGCCGTTCTCCATTACACAATGGACTTCAGCTTGTTTATTTCTGTTCTAGTCTTCTGACTATTCAAAGCTCTTTTACACCGCATGTCACACCTACACATTCACACACTGATGGTAGAGGCTGCTGAGTAAAGTAACTAATCACATTCATACACTGCAGATGAAGCAGTGGGAGCAACTTGGGGTTAAGTATCTTGCCCAAGAACATATCGGACATGTAGCTGCAGGAGCTGGGGATGGAACCCTCAACCTTCCGGTTGAAAGATGACGACTCTACCACCTGAGCCACCGCTGCGTTTTCATATGTATAGATATGTTTGGGGTCACCAAGGAGATGTGTAGAGAAGCTAACTATTTTTTACTGTTAGTAGGGATCAGATCATTCAAAATGTATATTTTAAAATATGAGGGGTGGGAATCACCAGAGGCCCCACGATACGATATTATCACGATACTTAAATCGTGACTCAATATTATTGCGATTTTAAACACAACAAATGCTGAGAATTGCGATACAATATTTTAGGATTTAACTTTTTTAACTGCATATCATGTAATCAAAATTAAACTCAATCAAGAAGTGTTTAGTCAAATAAGAAGAATTCTCAGTCTTTGGATTTCTACACAATGTGAGTGGAGCCCACAGACTGAGCAACACTGTGATCAAGTCAAACCCTGTAAGAGGCTGCATGAAGATCACAGTCTGTTAGTATCTCATATCTTAACACAAACATGTACGGATGCCTACACTCATTTCTAACAATGCAACTTGTTCAAAATGAACCATTTAACCCTTTCAGCAATTAAAAAAGCATATTGAAGCATATAGCACATGCCTATAAAAATATTGATACCTGGAAGACATGAATCGATATAATACCCCCATGCAACATATGGTGATACTATGCTGTATTGATTGTTCAGCCCACCTCTAATAGAGAGATAGAACAACAGGTTCTGTGATGTTAGCAGATAAATGAATACTGTCAAAACTGCATTAAGATGATCAATCAAAAGTTCATATTTATTTGTATAGTGTCAATTCATAACAACTGTAAATCTCAATAGACTACAAAAGAGCAGGTTAAAGGCCTTCCTCTTTGTTCTTGGCCTAATCTGAGGCTGGGTCGCTGTGGCAAGGATACTCAAAGCAGGTTTTCTTTAACCATTTGAGGAGGAATGTTTTTGTTTCTGTAATAAAATGTGAACACGTTTGTCAGTTCCTCAGAACGTGTATCGATTAAACGTGGACACACCAGAGGAGGCCAAGCAGAATGTGTCCTTTGGTGAGTCGGATCGCTGGTGGGAACAGAGTGAACTCACCAAACTACTGCTCTCGTCCAATCAGCTCACACAGCTGTCTGATGACATCACACTACTGCCTGGACTTACCACGCTGGATGTAAGTAACAAACATCAGTCAGTAACACTTATTGTACACCTTTTATTTAATGGAGATAATCATCTGCAGCTGCACACTGACTCACCGAGCAGACAAAGAACTAGAGGAGACCGAAGGCCTCTAGTTTCACTTGAACACACCACAAAGACTACAGCCGACGACCAACTACCACGTACCTTCTGCTGATGAGAGGAAATAACTCTCCATGCCAGCAGGGGGCGGTAGTCCGTTGTTATGATGCGAGAAGACCATTTTCAAGTATTATAGGTAGTCTACTAATGGAGAATAATGTCTGATAAAAAGTAGAAAATGGCGCTGGCGTTGTCAGCTCTTCGTCTTTTAGTGGAAAAAGAAGAGACTGAGGAGACAAATAAGGAGAAATCGTGTGATAACGATCCCTCTATGTAACCTTCTGGAGAGATATTCTCTTAACTTCTAACATCCAATCTTTATTTTCTACTTTTCTAATCTCTACGGTTTACTTTACACAGATTATTTCATAATGCTGAGCAGAAATCAAATTCCAACTAACAGGGCTGCTTGAGCCTTTTACTAAACTTGGTTATTTGAAAAGTTGAACCCTTAATTTTTGATAAATTGATCTCACACTTCTGTAATGTAAATACAAAATATCCATTTGCTCCGACAGCTCCATGACAACCAGCTTAGCAGTTTACCCGGAGCTTTAGGAGAACTGCAGGAGCTTCAGCAACTGAGACTGAGGTATGGCGCACACACACACACACACACACACACACACACACACACACACACACACACACACACACACACACACACACACACACACACACACACACACACACACACAGCTTGTCCCCCCCCCCCATCTTTGATACCTCTTTGGACAAGCATTCATGTCTGATCAGACACAGCGCTGGCCAGCTGTCTGGTGCTCAACAATGTGCAGAGCGTCGCTCCTGAGCACCACAGAGGACACAGCTCACACCTCCTGCACAATGTATGACAATTCATCATACATACAACTCTTTGTGATGTAAACCTGTAGAACACGCAAAAACCTTACTTTAAGGTCCCATATTATGCTTTTTCTGGTTTTATTTTACTGTGTTTTCCAAGTGTCCTGTGCATGTTTAGGCACATCTATGTGCAAAATTTCCGCAGAAACGCAGCTTCTCCTACGTCCTCCTGTTAGCTGTAGCATTAGCTGCATGTAACGCTCGGTTCTAGCCCCCCTCGAAAAAAAATTGTCAGTGTGACGTCTTGTCAGTGTGAGATCACTAATCTAAGTCCATTGGCTCGTTGTGGCAAGCCCAGCAGCTCATGTTGCACGCTTGTTAACTTCTGTAGCACTCCCACGATATGCTGTAGCCTGCGGTAGCACAGTAGTGCTAAGGTGCTAATGTTTATGCTACCCTCGGACGGAGCCAGTGGCTGCATTCCTAATATGGTAAAAGGGGCGGGACATTTCCGAGAACTTTGCTGAACGACTGACCAATTACGGCAGAGCCGACCGGCCGACCAATCAGATCAGACTTGGCACACGTGGGGACTCTGAACGTGGGCACTTCAGAGCCTTAGAGAGAGAGTCATGGAGCCGGTGCATGGAGCGGCAGTACATGAAAACAGACACTTTTTTAGAACTATTGTGAACATACTTTAGTAGGTACATAGATTAAATATACGAACCCCAAAAAGGGCATAATATGACCTCTTTAAATAGTACCGCCTCCACAAGGTTTGCACCTGGTGTCATTCACGCAAATTTTTTTAGTAGATCACCGGAAAATTGCCCACCAACCAAACGTGCAATTTGTTGAAACGAACGCGCAATTTAGTACTCTTTAATTGGGACCTTAGTAAATCAGGCCCCAAGTGTTCTGTTTCTAGTGGTGACCATTTGATCTGTATTTGATGTTGTCCCCGCCCTCCTTCTGAAATGTGTTGTCATTGGATGCACACACACGCGGTTTGAGCTAATATCTGTCTGTGATTCCAGTCACAACCAGCTGACATCACTACCAGTAGAGGTGTGTACTCTGAAGAACCTCCGCAGCCTCACTCTCCAGCAGAACCTGCTCCAGAGCCTGCCAGAGGATGTTGGGATGCTGGAGAAGCTCACTGAGCTGGTAACTGAACACACTGAAGGATGTGGTGATCTTTCTGCCGCATGGTGTGATTGACTCACAGCGTGTTCCTGTCCTACATTTGTTCTTTAGGACCTGTCCAAGAACAACCTGCAGGGCCTGCCTTCCAGCCTGGGTCATCTCACCTGCCTGCAGAAACTCAACCTGAGCCACAACAAGCTCAGCTGTCTGCCTGACAGTCTGGCCCAGCTCATCAGTAAGTATACTATATGTTACTCAGTACCTTCTGTTTGTGACTTTATTGTTCCAGTATACATCTATATCTGTGTTCATGATGTTTGTACAGCTACTAAAAAAACAAATAGATATCTAGATATGTGATAGCTGGAGGACTGCTCACACTTGCACCTCACAGCGGGAGACTGTCCCTGTCAGACATGGGGGGGGGGGGGCTCCTGAGGTAGTCCTGTTTATCTTTGAACTGGGTGTCAGCCTCTTGACACCTTAGTGGGTTAGAGAGGAACAAACAAATGTATTTCCTCCTGTTCTAAAAGGAAATGAATGTTGTGTTATAGACAAGCAAGAAACGTAGAAAGATTATCCAAAGCTTGTTACCTGATTTCTCCATATGCAGACATAGTCACAGAGCAGTTCACTGCAGTAACAAACCCACTTAGATAAGATTAGAAAACTTCATCAATCCCCAGTGGGCATGAAAAACAGAATCCACAGACATGCAGGTGGCAGAGCCGCCATCAAGGGGCGACGCCTCTCACTGTCCTGTTGTGGCGTCCACTCAGCAGTCAGGTGACCTGAATCTGCATGAACAGTTTAATATGTGAACCCACTGCATCATCAAAAAGACATTACAAAGTGTGTTTTTACACCATCTTCATCCCTGTATGTTTTGATTATCAGAGCCCCCCCCTTACTTCACTGCTACATAACAAGCAGTGTGCCAGCAAGGCCAAATGGAGCGCAAAAACTGTCCTGACCAGCAGGCGTGAGGGAAAGCTTGCAGACTGTATCCTGGTCTGTCAGACACATCTCACTCTTTCCTTCATTACAGCGTGATCTCACACATGGTGAAGTCTCAGGAAGTAGCTGGGCTAAGATTTCCTGTTCACCTGAGTTCTGATTTAATTTGACAGGTGTGAAGCTGTTGGACTGCAGCAACAACCAGCTGACAGACGTCAGCCTCTCAGAGATGCCTGTTTTGGAGCAAATTTACCTCAGACACAACAAGCTCCGCCTCCTCCCAAAGCTCACTGCCCCCATGCTCAAGGTAATCATAGCAACATGAGAGTTTTCCTGCAGCTTATTTGTTCATGAAAGGATTTACAGAGTGTCTTTGTGGTCCTTTTGATTCTTTTGTGCTCTTCTTACAGACTTTTATATTTTGAAATTGAAACGCCAGAAAGTGCAAACTGATTCCTACAGATTAAGGAGAGTATATTTAAGTCACATAAGAGCAGGAAGAACAAAGGCAAGGGCATCAGGGGAATAAGGGTGCACTCACACCAGGTAATCCGTACCGTAAGCACGCTTCACCCCTAAAGTCCAGTTTGTTGGACCAGTGTGAGCGCTTATACACGGTACGGGTAAACTTCACCTCAAAGAGTTGACTCCAAATATTTAAAAAATCTCTTTGTTTGATTTGAATGACATGAACAGTTTTCGTATTCATCAGCTTATCATTTTTATCTCTTATTATTTATATTTATATATTTATTAATATATTTCTTATATTGATCAATAACCACAAACACTCTCATGAACTCATATTTAGTGTATTTTCGTGTGTAGGAGTTATACATGGGGAACAACCAGATCGAGCAGCTGGAGACGGAGCAGCTGGCGTGCCTGAGAGCCATCTCTCTTCTAGAACTCCGAGACAACAAGATCAAAAGTCTCCCTGAACAGGTCACCCTCATGAGCACGCTGACACGCCTCGACCTCACAAACAATGACATATCCACGTAAGTCCATGACATCATGACCACCTGTTAGACATGAACCATAGCCAACCAATCACCGTGCAGTAAGACATAAAGCAGCACATTGTTATCATCCACAGCTGATTCTAATAATGAATCTGTTTCAGTCTTCCAGCGGCGCTCAGCCTGCTGCCCAGTCTGCAGGTGTTACTGTTGGAGGGAAATCCTCTGAGAGGGATCAGGAGAGACCTGCTCACAGTAAGAGACACATGAACAGATAACAGAATATACATTTAATACAGAGTTCCTCTTTAACCAGCTGACACATGAAGGGATGAATTCAGTGTATAACTTATAATTCAAATGGATCATTTTACATAATGAGTACTTACATTCTGACAACCTTTGATCGTCTTACACCAACCACACGGCTGCACTGAAGCTTGCAGGATCAATAACTACAAAACATAAACTAGATGTTTAAGATGATTTCCCATCATGTTCCTACTGAAGAAAATGTGAAATGGAAGTGAAACTGAAGCTTTTTGTGTGTGCAGGGCGTTGTAATGTCTACAGTTATTAAAGCATCAATATTAGCTGGGTTAAGATTAGGCCTTTCCTTTCTTTCCACATCTCATTTTCATGATCTGTTGAACTGTTTGTCATAAGAGCGTAAGCTTCCATGTGACATTTAAAATTGGACAGAGCTCCTACATGTCAGTCATGGGATGTTAATTATCTACGCCCTAACTGCTTTTTATTTGACATTTAATTATCTTTTTTCACTTCTCCAGAGTCTGTAGGATTTTTGTGAGAAGGTGATATGTAGCTGATTGATGCAGCCATGCAATCTAGTAGAGCCCGACGATGAATCATCGGCCAGCCCATAATATTGGCCGATATTAGCATATCAGGTGGCTATAGGTATCGGCTAATTTTATCACAGATATGCTCCAAAATTTCTAGATTTATTCTGCAATCAAACAGCATTTCTTTTAAGTTTCACTGTTTCACCAGCAGAGAGCGCTATATGGATTACAATAAGCATCATCACTCACTGGCGTGTCAGGCAGTGATGCATGTACACGCTCAGTTACTCTCCAGCTGAGTGACCATCTCGTCTTCATTTTAAATCTTTACCACTAGTGTTTGATAACTGCTAATCTATCTCTACAGATCAAACGTAGATCTATGAAAGATATCAGACCCAAACATCCAGTATGGGTCGGGCCACCAGTATAAGATCACCTTGATTCTCTTTTTAAACGCAGGACAGAGCGAGGTCAAATCTTTAACCCCAGAATTAGATCTTTCAAAAAGAAAAAGAAAAATATCATTGAAAAAACATGGATGTATATGATACTAACAAACATTTCTTTTCACCACAGAAAGGAACCAATGAGCTTCTGAAATACTTACGAGGAAGAATTAAAGGTACAGACATTTTTTTATCTTCTGCCCTGAAATGCTCTACACGGCACAGACACTTAACAGAGCTCATTAGCTTGTTGTACAAAGTGGAGATAGAGGTGTATTAATAATAATATAATATCCTCATCATGATTGAAATGTTGAGCTTTGACTCGTGTGAACAACTTTCATTCAGCTCACCGCGAGCCGTTTATCAACGAGCCTCAGAGTGTTGTGATTTGAGTCAACAGTTCCTAAATACCACACACAGTTTGTCCACCTTAAAAATAAAAGCAGCACACACAGTTTGTCCACCTTCAAAATAAAAGCACCACACTCAGTTTGTCCACCTTTAAAATAAAAGCACCACACACAGTTTGTCCACCTTCAAAATAAAAACTAGATGTCAAACTGTTGAGGATGGGAAACTGAAATTCACAGAGCAGGGAATGAAATATGTAACGGATGCAGTGTGGACAGCGTGCGATATATAACGCTGGCGTGCTGCTGATAGGACACGGTGTCAGTGTGTCATGTGTGATTAAAGTTTGTTCTAGTGATGACAGCTGTAACCGTATTCTAGTTAAAATCTTTTTTTATTGAGGAAGCCGTTAAAACATTCAAAATAACAGGTTTGTCCTCCTGTTAGAAAAAAATTAAACATGAGTAAACAAAAAAGTAAACAGGTAAATAAAAATTAAAGAAACAAACAAAAGAAATAACAAAATATTACTTTAGACCCCGTGTCCAGCAGGCGTTTTTTACGGGCAGAAAAGCGCTGGAAGTGTGCGCTCTGAAGTGTTTGTGCTCTAAGAAGAAAAGTGCTGTAGGGCCGTCCTGTCTCCATGACAACAGTCTGATGACAGTTGCTGTATGAGCGACTCTGCTCTGTTACTTTTTACTGCATCTTTTATATTTGAGATTGTTTATTTCACGATCAGACACGGAGCGAGGAGGTTGTGGGGACACAATCAGTAGGAGACAAAACTACAGAGGAATATCAAACATTTCGAAAAGAGTGCCGGTGACATCAACAGAGTCTTTCTGAAAAGTTGAAAGATTTAAACTTGAGCACTCTGAGCGGTCGCACAAAAAAGGCGTAGCGCTTGTAAAACAAAAACGCTGAGCGCTGCACTTTTTCTCCTGAGCGCTGCTTTCTGCTGAGAACGTTCTCTGCTTGTTGAAAACAACTGAAAAAAAGATGCTGGCGCTCAGAAAAGAACGCTAGGTGGACATGCTACTTTTTAAATCCCGTGGTTCCAACCTTTTTCGATCGTACATTAGAATTGAAATGTGAGCTGGAGGGAAAAAAACGATTTAAAACCAAATGTTCTGCTTCAAGCTGCCATAGTGGGGAAAAGAGAGGTGGTAAAGAAAGAAAGAGATGGTATTTCAAATAAAACTGAACAATGAAAAGAAGTCTTTATATTCTGTTAACGTGGTCACGCTCTCATGAAGACATAAAGGGATTAGAGAACCATCTGACCTTCATATCGCTTTGTTTGTAAGGGTGCACTGATAGATCGGCATGTGACCACCCCAGTATAGACGCTTCGAGCCGTTTCATGCAGCTCACAGCGACACATACACTAAGGGACGGCCACACACACAACAAGCTAACATGTCTGCAGTTCAGACGTCAGGAGCTCATCAGCAGAGGAGAAGAAGGTTCTCTGCACTCGCTCCCTCCTCACCTCTCATACCATGACAGATATGTGTCTCTCTCTCTCTCTCACAGGCTGGGGGAGTGCAGCACGTTCACATATATAATTCATATTCCCCTAATAATATTTGGTTACGGAGGGAAACTTAAATGATAAAACCTCAATGAGCGCATTAAAATAAAAAAATCAAAGCGTATGGGCAGGTCAAACCAGGTAAAAGTGCATCTCTATTTGTTTGTCTTAACAACAGCATTGAGGGATAGCAGACCACAGCTATGCTTTATTAGCTAATCAGGATCCAGAATGTAACACAGCCGTGTTTTAACAATGGGTTAAGAAACAGGCCTTCAGGTCGTCCATTCATTTACTGATGATGGACACCTCGTCAACAGAAGGGAACAAGGTGAATCCAACCTCCGTTTAAATTGATTCCATTTCTGTTTCAGAGGAGCCGGAGAGCGCTGATAAAGGTCACACTGCTATGACCTTACCCAGCCAGGCTGCAGTCAATGTACACAACATCAGAAGTCTGAAGCTGTTGGTGTTCAGGTTAGTGACACATGTTGTCTTATGGAAGTCCACATGTTAAACCTGACTGATGTGACCTTCATATTTAGACATATCCACATGGCTCGGATGGATGCTAATATGTTAAGCTCTGGCCCAATCAAGCGAGGCACTACAACAGGGCTAGGGGGCGCTATAGCCCCACCAAAAATCTGTCTAGCCGTGGTAAAGCCTCCTCATGGATGTTTTTGTTTGAAAAAAGAGAGAGAAGTTAAAAAGTAACTATGAATTCATGAACACATGTTAGTCAAACTCCCCCTCAGCACCGGAAGAAAGAAAATCCTGCCGCTGTCCCTGGGGCCAGTGTCCCACCAGGTCCCTTTTATTTTGTAGTTTTTTGTGGCACAAATGTAAAATGTAAAGACAAAATACGTGTTGGGGGGGGGCTGTGGCTCAGTTGGTCGTCTCTTAACCAGAAGGTCGGGGATTCGAGCCCCAGCTTCTGCAAGACACTTAACCCCAAGTTGCTCCCGCTGCTTTATAGGCGGAGTGTGAATGGGATTAGTTACTTCTGATGGACTCTTTGGGGTTAAGTGTCTCGCCCAATGACACATCGAACATGTGACTGCAGGAGCTGGGGATTGAATCCCTGACTTTCCGGTTGAGAGGCGACGACCCTACTTACTGAAACACAGCCATCAAAGGAGAGCACATAAGTCAACAGTTAGTGCAATCATTTAAATGTCAACCTACTTTGCAAACGCTGCTGTACAGGATTGCTGCAAACAAAATTTTGTTGTTTTTTATACAATGACAATAAAGCTTCTATCTATCTGAATTTGTCAGGCAATCCTATGTCAGAATTTTGCATTACAGGTTGTTATAAACTGGAGTTATATTTATATTGAAATACATTGTATAATAATAAAATAGCATCACCATTTTAAAAAAGTATTACTGGTGTAAACACAGGACCAATCAGTGAGATGTGTAGAGAGTGAAATGAAAAAGGTATCTTACTATATGATCATTAAAGAAACATGCTATGTTGAAGTGCTGGCTTCTCTGACAACAATGCAGCAGTCAGTATGTCCTCCTTCTAACTTTAGATTCTGCTCCTGAATGCTCTGGATTTGTTTGGACCAGAGAAGGTAGGCGCTTTTAAGACACCCCCCCACACGGCCGTTTTGGACGCCCCTCTGTTTACCAGATATGAGAGCAGTTATCAGGTCAACAGGTGTTGCAGCGATGGAAGCGGGCAAGAGAAGTGGTTCAGATAGAAGTGATTGTACCCGACCTAAAAAGCCTCTGGGACAGCGAACAGCTCTCTACAATGTTTAGAATTTAGACTGCAGTGAAAGTCTTGTGAAAGAGAACCTTAGTGACAGATAGAGACGTTCTCATGTCCCTCCTCTAGATGATGGACACTTCTCCGGTCTAATGTAGACATACCTGTTCTGTCAAGGTATTTCCAATATACAAATATTTGCCAGTACCCCGTCCCTGTCTCGTCAACAGTAACACTGTCAGTGTAAACAAAAAGATCATCACAGCCTTATGATTAAATATCCAGTCCAATTTATAACAACTTCAAATGTACATATGACGTGTTTGAAACTGCTCCTTAAAGGAAGAATGTGTGATTTTTTCATCCAGTAGATGTCGCCCTTGAGCACCAGCATGAAACCAAAACAAACTGCTGTTTGGCCACACCTCCTCCATACTGAAGCCTCCGCTCTCCTCCAGAAACACACCCCCAACCCCCCTCCACTCTAGTCCTTGACTAAAACAGCTTTTATACACAAGGGGAGGAGCCAGCTGTAACATGTAAACACGGCTCTGACAACAACACAGCCAGCGGGACTCGAGCTTCTCACTCAATGTAGACAGTCATGACTCAGAGACACATTTACACAGGATAGACTGGATTTATGATTTATGTGGAACATGTCACTCGTTGTTCCTTTAAATGGAGCTTACTGACTGCCATCTGACGATCACTAAGTACCTCATACAACCTCACTAAATACAATTGAATCATCCCTCACTGGTTAAGAAACTAATTATTGTTGGTTACTTAAGAAGTGAGAGCAACTGTAATATAACTGTGTCTTATTGTTCACAGTGAGAAGCAGGCATCAGATATTCCTGGTGAGATTTTTGATGCAGCAGCAGATCAAGGTGTTACTACTGTGAACTTCAGCAAGAACCAGCTGACCTCAGTACCTTCCAGGTATACACCGACACACACACACACACACTCTCAAACACTGAAGCACTACAATGGGCTGCCTTAGCACACACACTAACCACATGTTGTTGTGTTTGCAGGCTGTTGGAGTTCCAGTCCTCCGTCTCTGATATCAATCTGGGTTTCAACAGACTCATCTGCTGCTCTCCTGCCATCTGCCAGTTACTGCAGCTGATGCACATTGACCTGGGGTAACACACACATGTGCACAGGATAACATATATGTTCAGTCAAGTTACATCTCAGGAATGCTCTGTATACCTTATAGACCAGGGGTGGGCCACATGCGGCCCCCATCAACCCTCAACGTGGCCCTTTCAGTGTTTCCCCTAGGTTTACAGCGTTGGGGGGGTGGGGACAAGCCGACATGCCGACACAAACACTTGAAGGAATCTTGGTGTTCATGTGTTACTTTTAATGACAGATGTCCTTTTCTATCTGAAAGGTATCCTTAAATGACTTCTTTCCCTGATTTCCGACTATATCCACTATCCTATCCCTACAATAAAGGCACAAAAAGCCCAAAAATTAATCTTATAAAAAACGTTTTTTTTTTTTTCTTGCTTGACCTTGGGGGGGGGGGCAGGGGGGCGGGCATTATATTGGGGGTGGAATATAGATACAATATGTAGAGTGGCCCTCAATCAGAGACTGTAAATATTAAATCATTCCTCAATCAATACTACAATAACAAAAGATGATGTCGAGGCTAGTGGGGGGAGAACTCCACGTTTACGTAGTAAAGACGAAACCGACCTGAGGAAAAGAATATGTTTGCTGAATAGCAAAAGTATCATTTTGAGCAGTCAGAAGACTAGAGAAGAGCTTAACAAGCTCAAGTCCATTTCCAATTGTAGAGCTTGAAGTGTTGGTGATGTGGGTCCAGCGTTCTTAAAGTTCTCAGTGTGAGAGATTGTATATAAATATAAAACCTTTATTTAACCAGGTGAAGAAAGGTGACCCTTTAACTCTTACATGCTATACTGTTGTTTATTGCTGAAGTCTTATTTCCCTTCAGGACAGAAACATATAATGCCAGTGATGTAACAGAATTCAGCCCTGCTAATATATTAATATGTAGAACCTTTTGTAAATGAGTCAGTATTTAATCTTTCTCTTTTAGGAACAATCAGCTGAGTGATTTACCTCCTGACATGAAGAACTTAACCAAGCTGCGATCTGTTACCCTCAACTTCAACAGGTAACTCACTGCTTCATGACCAGTTAACATCTTCTGTTGGCTCATGTCCATGTGCAAGTGTGGCATGAGGAGGAGATACTGATAATGTATTACTGGAAACATCTACGCTTATCTCAGCATTCATTTTTAAATAATTACTCATTATATCAACTTCGCCAGAATGTGAAGCAAGAAGTCTGTAACTGTTTTATTAAAACAATCACCTGATGACAGAAATGTTCTCACTATGACGTGTGTTCATACATTACAGCAACACAATAGAACTGCATGCTTTAAGCACCATCAGATCTACAGCAATGAAAAAACATTTTGAAATGTTAGACCTGTGTTTTTACCTCTGAGCTCAAGTGGGAACCACCTCCGTATTTCCCCCTAGTCTCCTGTTAAAAAGGTTGAAGGGATTGAGGAAAGATGGAGGGCAGGAGAAAACACCCCTCCAGTCCGCTGAGGCTCCTAAATGTTGTCCACTAACAGTCTTTGTACTGATCACAGGTTCAAGTCTTTCCCTGACGTCCTCTATCACATTGTTTCCTTGGAGACTGTGCTGCTTGGTAATAATCAGGTGGGCTTGGTGGACCCTTGTGGTCTACAAAAGATGGTTCATCTGACAACACTGGATCTGTCCAACAATGACCTGCTGAGCATCCCACCTGAACTGGGCCTGTGTACCAGCCTCCGGTATGTAGCAGAGGGATGTTCTCAAAACGTTTAAATACCTCAGTCCATCACTTTTTCAAACTTTGATGGTTTTCTTTTTTGTTTGGAAGAAGAACTTTCCTTTGTTCCATGTGCAATGACAATAAAGGTTAATTTCAATTTGTGAATATGAGATGTAATTAAAGTTGAGTCAGCTTTCCTCAACCTGCTTTGACTCTAAATGTATTGAGTCCCTAGCAGAGAACAGATATGTTATCCTACTTATAGATGTTTTCTTTGTTTTTTCATTGAAAATTAGAGTCAAAAAAGTACCTTAATTGAAACTTGTGCTCTCCCCAAGGTGTCTTGGTCTGGAGGGAAATCCTTTCCGCACACCGAGAGCAGCCATAATGACCAAAGGAACAGATGCAGTGTTGGAGTATCTGCGTAGCCGTATTCCTTCATGACGCCTGACCACAGCCGAGGGAGCTTCACCCCCATAACCAACACGTTTCTTTGTTCCACAGTTCAGTTCGTTTGACGTCTGTTTCAGGAGCCAGCTTCCAAATGCAGTTGTTTAAAAGCTGTTTTTACAAATTATCAGTTAATGGACTGAACTGGACAATCAAGTTCACACTGATGCCTTGTGCAATAGTAAGGGACCAATGACAAAAGCACGCTCTTAATAAAGTTTCTTTTGGAAGTAGTGTGGTGATCCATCAGTAGAACAGGCTCCCCTGCACAGGATGAACAGGTAGAAATAGAAATGGAAATATGTGCCAGAATTGCTGACGTAATGGGTGGCAGTGCAGGAATTGGATAATGGGGCCAACTCGGGCAACACTAATGCACATATTCAGTGGGCTGCAAACCACCAAATGAAACCACTAGCTATAAACTTTATTGACCCATGATTAGTCAGGCTACTCTAAATGAACTGAATCATCATCTTTAGGGCTGGTATCTACTCATTATTATTACACAACCAAGGTTAGATGGCCCAAATGATTTGAAGAGGACAATTTCTCCCCCTTCTCCACCTTTTCAAACAGTCCCCTTGTGGTCTAAATGAAACCTCTGTGCTGTGGTCAAAATATAACATGAATCAAGCACCAGAGGAGGTTTGTGACCCTGTATAAACCAGCTCTCTCAGAATGCTCCGTTTTGGTGTGTGTGTCTCGTTAAATGCAATGAGCCCCCCCCAGTTTTCCCCGTAGACATCACTCCTCTGTAGAGAGAATAAAAATGGAGGACCTGCACAAAAGTTTTGTTCTAGTCTGGGGGCAGAGATACCAGGGTAGGGGATTTTTTTTTACCAGAATCCCACTGTGACATCTCAAGGAGAGCACATTTGAAACAGAGCATTTTTTTCCCTTTATGCACCATGTCCGTATGTCCAGTCTGTGTGACTAATATGAGTTCTCCAATCCGTGCTCTAGCTCGGTACACTTCCTTGGCCCTGGCACGCACGGTGTGGGACAACTGGGCCTTGTGTGAGTCTAAGACTCTTAGACTCTTCTCTTGTGTAGTCCCCTGATGGTAGATACAAACCTCCATTTGATCTGCAGAGTCCCCTGTCACCTTTAAGAGAAAGCTAAAGACCCAGCTCTTCATAATGTTAGTGGTGGGACTGATGTCAATGTTGGTGATGAGTCGTCAGCCTGCTGTTCAGTAACAACACTCACTGCTGAATGTATTGGATGGTTTAGTGGAAGAAAGTGAGAGTAATTATAAAACACATGCCCCCTCACTTCACTTAATGTTTTAAATAAACTTTATTGAAACTGTCAACCAGGACAAGTGCAACCCGACAATGTGAACATACTTTAAAAGCTAAGTATGAAGAGAGTCACCAAATGTTAAAGTTTGTGTTTTACAATCCCCAACAACATGGCAAAGTAACTATTTCAAGAAAAAGGAGAACATTTTGACGTTACAAACAACATCAAGAAGCTTTCGAGATGTATATTCCTGGCTATCGGATAAGAGGAATTCATTCTGTTTTTTAGACTGTGGTCATGTGGCCAGTGGAAATCACATCTTTGCACTCTTTGCTGATCACACAACACTGATAACCCATAATCTTTACACTTTTATACTGCAGGCAAAAAGACTCAATACTAACACGTTTATTATAAAACAAGAACAAATGGAATGACTGTCTTAACTAAACATTAAACTCTTGGCCGTTACAGGCAGACAATCGCAGAATTGAATTCAAAATGTTTCGAATACACACTCGGCACAAGATAGTGTTACGCCCCATGTGGCTACAAGTTAGCGCCTCCATACTGTAGAATACTACATTGTAATAAAGAGGTCTTTGTGTCTATAGTATCTGCTAGGCTGGATGCTTGTGGTTGGTTCATAGAGAATAAGAACGGCTGATGATGAGTCTAGAGCTAAAAGTCTTCAAAGCACCACTTTATACTCAGAGATATTACTGTTGCAAAATGGCCGATCTCCTTACAGTATTTACAAAAATATAAAATGTAAATAAGATACAAACAAAATCTCTTTTTAAAAGTATTCTTGTTAAGAAGGGAGGACTGAGGTGTTGAAGGTTTGCTGGAAAACTGCTTTTTCTCTTGATTGTAACCTCCTCCAAACCAAGCGGGCGCTGCAGACTCTACTTAGCTGTCTTCTGTTTCTTTGTTTCAACTTCATCCTGGAAATGTGGAAAAGAAGAAGGTTAGGAGTTAATTCTCAGGTAAATATTACCCAACATGTCATCTCACTCTTTAGGGGTCTGGATTCTTTCTGATGTTAACATGAAGAATGTTGGGGCTTACCAACCAAACCTTTATAGTTATCAATCTTCATGGTTTATGAGATTTAGTATGAGAGGAACTACAAACTTTATTCTGAGGTTACTTTTAGAAATCTTGAAGTTTATATATGAAGTATTTTTATTTCTGTCAATAGAAGAAGTGTTTGCTTTTGCAACTTAGAGAAATTCATGTTTGTGTGTATTCTTGTCTGACCACACACCTAGAGGCGGCTGTGGCTCTAAGGTAGAGTCGTCGTCTCTCAACAGGAAGGTCAGGGGTTCAATCCCCAGCTCCTACAGTCACATGTCCGATGTGTCCTTGGGCAAGACAATTAACCCCAAGTTGCTCCTGCTGCTTCATTGGCAGCGTATGAGTGTGTTTGAATGGGATGAGTTACTTCTGATGGTCTCACATACACAGCAGCCTCTACCATCAGTGTGTGAATGTGTAGTTGTGACCTATACAAGCTCAAGACCCTTAACCATTAACATGGGAGATGTTCTGCAAGGATTTCTTAAGTAAAGCCTCCAGTGATTCATAAAGAGCAGGAGGGAGCAGTCCCTGGTAGGTATACAGATGGGATTGTTCAAGTTCTGTGTGCAGTCACAAGTCAATGATAATGGTTTAGCCCAACCCACTAGATGATAAACACTAAAGGTAAACTTTTGCACATACCATAATGTCAATATTAGGAATAGCAGGCAAAGACAGGAAGCAGCCTACCTACAAGAATGCCTTCAGGGAGACTGAAACAGCTCAACCCAGGCTACATAGTACAACAAGGCATATGGGCTGGGCTGAGGCCCTGTTCTCCCTACTGCAAGTCAGTGAGCTCTTAAACTCAGTGGTGTAGTGGTGCCTGAAGAGAGTATACTCTGAATGAGTGGTCGTCCAGCAGAGCATCCTCTGATAGAAACAGGGACATGTAAGATGACTCTTAGAGACAGGGTAGGGAGGCTCATCCCTGCACCATCAATGTAGCATCAATGCTTTTTGTGTTGATACAATATTCCAACTTTCCGAACTGAAATCACATGAACACACTGAAGTCAGGAGAACATTTGTGTCTGTTCTGACTGTGATTCAATAATATTCTTCATGTAGTGTTTGGAGAACATTTCTCTGTTTCCTCCTCAGCTTGAGAAACTCTTCACCCTCCTCCTAACAGTTCTACACCTGAGGAGCTCTCTTAAGGGCTAAGACACTTTGTGAATAACTATCATCTCTACAAGGATCTAGTCTGAACTTAGAGGAGAAATTCATAGAAAACGTGCTGATTCTAAGAATTTTGTCGCTAAGAGCACCTCTTAGTACTTAGGAGTGAATACGGCCCCTGATCTTTTGTCACTGCTCTTTCTATAACTGAAAACATGTTACATATTCCTCACCTCTTCATCATCATCATCATCCTCAGCTGCTCTCTTCCCTCTTGGTCCTTCAAGGTCGTATTCTTCGTCATCCTCCTCGTCACCTAAATACACACAGATGATCACAAAATGTTGGACTAACAATGAAATACACATCCTGTCACATCTCTGTGAGGGTCAGAGGTCATGTGATTATACTGTTGCTAGGTTGGGGTAGGTCACCCACTACTCAACACGTTCTGGTATTGTTCACCTGAGAGAGACTTGAACATGACTGTAAAATGAGTGTCACAGAGTGAACTATAGGCCAGCCCTCTGCTGTGCTGCCTATACTCAGGGGATTTCCCATGATGCACCAAGCTTCTCTCTTCCATCTTCATCCAGTTTCTATTACTACTATAATTACTAATGAGTTTAGACTACTTTCATTCTCTTGTTGTGTAACAGGCTGACCTGTCTGACCCCCCAGAGGCTGGTACAGCTGAACATCTGCCTGTTAAAACCTTTTGTGTTTCACACTGTTGTCAGAGAATTTCTCAAAATGGGAACTGTTGGGTCTGTGTAAATAATATCATTAAGAGTACACTCTAGACATGAATTACTTAAAAATATGATAACATGATACTCAGCAGCCTCTACCGTCAGTGTGTGAATGTGTATGAATGGATGAGTTAATACTGATGGTCTCTTTACACAGCGGCCTCTACCATTAGTGAGGGAATTTGTATGAATGGATGAGTTAATACTGATGGACTCTTTACTCAGCGGCCTCTACCATCAGTGTGTGAATGTGTATGAATGGATGAGTTAATACTGATGGACTCTTTACTCAGCAGCCTCTACCATCAGTGTGTGAATGTGTAGGTGTGATATGCAGTGTAAAAGAGCTTTGAGTAGTCAGAAGACTAGAACAGAAAAAAACAAGCTCAAGTCTATTTACCATTTATCAGAAAAACATGGGCCATTAAACAAAAAGAACAAAGTCTGAACAGGGCGTTTGCTTATACCTGACTGTGAAAGTATATTTCCAAACAATGCTTATGTTAAACTTCCAAAATAACAACTAAATTCAAACTGATTTATCTGAGCTGACATGCGTATGGGTATTACTCTTTTAAGTGTACGTAAGTGTAAGTACATAATAAGTTTCACAGTTTTTCCACCTGGTGGCAGGCCTAACCTTTATTAGATCAACATGGACTCCAGCAGCTGGGTCCAAAGCACTCTCTTGTTCACAATCTGACTTTCAACTTGGAACTGGAGATCGGAGTCAGAGTTGAGATGATACAAAGTCTGGCTCTATAAAAACTGGTATCTGCATATAAACACATGTAAATCTAGAGATTGAGAGAGGGCTATAGAATTAGCTTCTTTTAACTAGGAACCAGTACCAATTCTGTGAACAATGGGACGGTTTAAAAAACTTGTAAAGCCTGTACTGATTCCTGTTATAGATGAGCACGATGGTCAATCTGTATTTGTGATAGCACATAACAAATGAAAACCCAAGACACTTCAGAAAGAGAGCAGGAGGTCTACACTGTACTCTGTTATGTTAAGACTAATCCACCATGAGCAAAGCACTTGATGATAGAGGAAAACAATATTTAAGTTGTAAATACTCCTCAGATTACCAGACATTAGTTTGAAGGATGCTCTTCAACTCTTCATGTGCCAAACTGCAGATATAAATCCAAACACTTTAACTCTGGTCAGTTGTGTTATTGACCCTTGACCTTTCATTCTTCATTCCACTATGTTAACCTGTATACACCTACCCTCTCCATCCTCTTCCTCATCATCTCCAACGTCGTCTTCATCCTCCTCTACCTCGTTCTCCTGCTCGCCGTTCTCCTCGTCCTTCTGGGGAGAAAGAGTTCAGTTGAGTCCCAGAAGACAGACGAGGAACATTCATGTTGTACAAGCTGGGGGAGGAACAAGATAAGCTCTTCTTACAGTTTTGCCATTGGCGGCTGCGTCATCGCCGTTCTCCTTCTCTCCAACCTGTTTCTTCTCCTTTAGCTCCTGAAAAAGAACATGTTCTTAGAATCACACCTGACTTCTGGTAGTCTAAGGACAAAAGAAAGGACAACGGCTAAATGACTGTTTAAAATTATTTGGAGTTTTTTCTGGTCAGAATACGTCTTAATCCTGTGGAGGGACCTGGGGTGCATTCAGCTTCTGTTTACAGCACATCAACTTCACGGGACTTATGCCCAAAGCAGGACATGCTGAAAACAAATTTGTGGGTTTTTTTTCACATTATTCTTAAAAGCAGATGAATAATTTGTTACCCATAATTCAATAAGTAACTATTATTGACTTTATTTACATGGTCCCTTTGTTAAAGATTGAGGACATTTCTATGATGACTCAGAGAAGCATTTGCCACACTGTGAGATGGAGAATGGGCCTAGGATTAAGATGTGATAAATGACCACATGAAATGATACGATGGCCTACTTGAAATCAAGAGAATATCATTTCCATGCATTACTCGATATACCAAACAACAACACAAATAGTTTGTGTGTTTCCTTTTATAATCTCCACATCTTTAAAGTATACAATCTGGGGCAGAAGATAGTGCTAGGGTTCCCCTCCACCCTCCTCGCTATTGTTGAGCTTGGCGGCAAGTTGCTTTAACACAGACAGGTGGAGCTCTGCGGCTCAGACATCCTATTGGTCAGTTCCCTCTAAGTCCCTCCCACCTCCTCCTGTCTGGCTGACATCTAACAACCTCGGTCACTCCTTTAATTTGTTAAGAGCAAGCCTGCTGAGGAAACAGTGCAAGGACAGAAGTCCCTGCAGGACAGCAGCTGATTTCTCCCGATCACTTTATCAAAGTAGTTCCCAGAGCAAGTAGAAAAAACACTATGTTTCTCTCTGGTAGCCTGCACACCTTCACAACATCTGAAAGAATGTAGTCACTGTTGATTACCTTGGCACACAGCAGTAGAACTGTAGGCCTGCATAAGCTCGTTATAGATAAACCTTCATGTTACATGTGGTAGATACTATCTCTCTAGTGATGTATGTGACAGACACCCTGCCCTTATTTTGCAAAGCAGTCTGTTTCCCTCGCGCCCTCAGGCGGCGTGCAGAAAAACCCAACGCAGCACGCGCGACTCAATAACACGGGCACGAGCCTGCCCCTCGCGCGCCACCTGCTTAGGCTGTGACCGGCCAGAGGACAGCACTGGTTTTATACTGGATCTAAATAAACCTATAACTTTACTTTGATCTTAATAAGTAGAATACTTGAAATAAACACAGAAACAAATCCACCAGAACCCCCAAATAGAAGATGGGGACGAAACCTCGATACATAAACATAAATAGAGAAACTGAATAAAGAGGTGGGGAGCCTCCCTCAATAATGAACACATTAAAATCACATTAAAATCAAACAGCCGGAGCTCCAATGAATAAAGATTATGGTTGAGTGACGTCACAGATTGGAGTTACAGCCTAATGAGCCTAAGCTGGATAGTGATGTTATTAAAGGTTGCTCACGTCGCTTTACTGTCACCTCTGTGAGCACGAGCGTGTCCTCCACACAAACTCACTCAAACTCACTTCAGATTTATGAAGACTCAATATTCACACAGCCAAAAGTCAATCACACGGTGCTCAAACAAACACAAGGGGTCTTTGACTGTCAAAACACTGATCGGTAACAGAGTACCAGAGTAACACATGCGTAACTTCAGTTCAACTGGAGAATCTCTGTGCGCGTTTGGCAACAGATTGACTCGAGCAACCCTCAACACGAGCAAAGCAACTCAGTCCCTAAATGTGTAAAATTGCAGCCAGGCTTGCAATAGCCTCATTTCCTCATGAGTCCCCGTTGACTTCAGTCTGAAGGAGGAGGAACACGAAGCTGACTGATACCATAACGAGCTTCATCTCCATCCATTCAGGTCGATAGACACTTTCATGAAGAACAGAACCTCCACACATTACTGTCACAAACAAGCCTTATGTCATGTTGTCACACAGATACTCTCTTTTTATATTCACTCTTGTTCAAATACACTAATTCGTGTAACAGTGTTGAAAAGAGGCAGGATTTTTTGTCTCCTTCTCTTGTCACCTTACCTTAGCACTCAGTTCTCCGCTGCTTTCCACTTTACTGTCCGCCATGATAGTTCAACACAAAGAAATGTATATCCAGTGAGAATACTGCGGGATGTGAGAAAGAAAGATGTAGAAGTCTTCTAGTAGATGATGTCCAAGTCCTGCCAGCGGCGCGTACATTCTGTGGAGCTCGACTCTTTATAGGCCAGTGGGAGGAGGCTGGTATCTGAACGTACACGCTGATTGGTCGATTACCTTTGAAACTATTTCTGTCTGCAATTGGCCAAAGGGAAACAATAGGCATCTCTCCCGTGTGTGCCTCTACTTCGATCTGGAGCAAATCTTTGGTATAAATAAGTTATTTTCTCACACACACACACTGTCATCTCATCAGGTCTTTAACATTGACCATATTCTCACACTGTTAAATATGAATTCAGCCTTAATGACTCTTAATGAACTGAAACTCCATCACTTCATTATTTATTTTATTTTCAGTAAAAACGTGCCATTATTACCGACCCGTGTAACAATTGGCAACAGCCCTGCATTTTGCTTCTCTGATTATTTTAAGCAAGGCAGAATATGATTGGGCCTAATTTTGGAAAAATTAAAAATATCTGTATCTGTGAGAAAGAAAACATTACATTTTGAGTTGTGTTTCTTCTATTAACAGATAACATTCATCTTCTTTAATGTATCCTAACATAAAACATGTACAAGGTAAATACTTCCAAACATGTGTTAACTAGTTCATCTTCCTCCTCCATCTTTAATCACTGTACTGCCCTGACTAGTTTGAAGAAAAGAGAAAAATAAAAAGTCAGACAGACAGACAGATGGAGTGAGAAGATAAAGTGATTAAGTATATTATTATTTATTCAACCACAGATGGGCTACACACTGCTCTATAGCAGCCACTCTGCTTTTTCTTCATTACAACATTAAAGCATCAAAGTGGATCTTTCTATTCCAGTTCTGCGTCTCCATCAGCAGAAGAACGGGATTACTGGTTTATGTTCCACCATCATCTAGTCAAATAGTTTATTATTTAATGTTTATTTGTCTTCATTGGTCTCACTGCTCTGGATTATTCTTTGTCTGCTGGTGTCATATTTATGAGCCAACAGCACGGAGCACTAGATTTCAAATGAGCTACCTTAACAGGGGGGGGCGAGCGCCGAGATGGATGGGGTGGGGAGAAAGAGCTAAGCAGAGAGGGAGGAGGAGTGTAGGGTGAGAGAGGGAGAGGGGGGGGGGGAGAGAGAGAGAGAGAGAGAGAGAGACAGAAGGGAGGGAGGGGGGGGTGAGGAAATGAAAGGAGAGTTAGGCGGGATGGGTCGGAAAGGAAATGGAGAAGATGAGCTTGGAGGTCATGATGTAGGTGGAGGTGTGTTGACAGAAATTCAAATCATCACGTGTTCAAGATGATGTTCAGAAAAAACGATCCCGACACATCAGGCTCCGACATGGACTGGTGGAAGCCCACTAGCTTACTGGCTTTAATTTGCATTAAGCATCGTGTTTACGTCACTAGTAGCCTATAGACAGACAGCCTGGAAATAAAACATGCTACTCTTTAATGATCAGCATGAAAGCTTCATACCTTCTGATGTGTTTATTACTTTTTGTCTGGATCGTTACAGCAGCTCAAATAAAAATACAAACGTTCATCGGGAAGATTCTAATAAGAACACAAAGCTGTCACTTTTCGTCCCTCACCAACATGGCAGCCCGCAGAGTCCGTATGACGTCGAGATTGTTGAACCTGTCTTCTGATTGGCTGGTTAACAGGAGTGAACGTAATGCTGACGCTTTGCGCCCAGTGATAGGCTGATGCAGCTGTCAATCATCAGAAGCAGGGCTGGTTTATCTGATGTACTGCGGGTGTATCCTGCTGGTGTCCTCCCAGCTCTGTCTCTACAACACACATGTAAATCAAACATGCGATCTTCATCCAGCAAGGAGATGTGTGAAGTGTAAGCACCACTTCCTGTTAGATTAGAGGAGAGGTCTTCACCAAGGAGCCCTGTGAACATCTCAGTGCTGAAAACCAGCTCTCAGAGAATGAACAGGATATATAGGATGACCTCTGGAGAATAGACTGGACAAAAGGCAAACCCAAATTCTGTCCACAAGAAAGTGCACTTTTGTATCTTTGTAAGTGAATAAAAAAACAAAATATGCATCAACATTTATTGAGAATGTGTGTATCCAAACTCGTGTCAGGATAGCATGATGTAGATCATTAAGGCTGGGTGGTTTTCTTTTGGAAAAACAATGAGTGATTTTGGATCATTGTCTGACAGAAACTTTTATCTCAGTGAGGAGGCGGGGTTTACCCTGTTGCTAGGTATGACAAATTTTTTAGAAGCTGTGATCGGCTGATCCAAAAAAATTGAGAAAAACATTTCTGTGTTTCCTCCTCAGCTTGAGAAACTCTTCATCCTGTTAAAAGTCCTCCTCACAGTTCTACACCTGAGGAGCTCTCTTAAGGGCTAAGACACTTTGTGAATAACTTTCATCTCTACAAGGATCGTGTCCTAACTTTGAGGGGAAATTTTTAGAAAACCTGATTTTAAGAGTTTTCTTAGAATTTTCTGGCTACGAGCAACTCTTAGTACTTAGGAGCTTTGTGAATACGGCTCCAGGACTTCCTGTACGTCCCTGTTTCTGTCCTCTTCCATACAGATAAATGTCCCATTAAGGAGAGACCTGCGTGTTTAGGTTGAGATATTTGGCCAAACAAATGAAACACTTCTCATCATAGCTGTCACGTTTCATTAGCATGACATTGGTCTCATCCACATTGAAACAGGCTTAATAGATCTTCTGGACTCCATTAAATATTTGAGAAGATTTGTGAAGAAGAAAAAATGTGACCAAAGCCGTGTGAGTTTTCACCTGAATCAACTTCTGACAACTCTCCTCTTACTGCACATATTTCAATGCCCAGTTTCATACACAATGGGGGGCAGCAGGGGGCAGCATTGAACTTTGATTGGACAGACTATGTATTTGGAAATTATGTTTTTAGAGGAATGCATGTACTGCTTGAGGTTGATGTAGTAATTAAGTAATCCATGCATTTCTCTTATGATTTGACTAATGGAAGTCTTCACCTGTTTTACCGTTCAGGGTCGCGGGGGGCCGGGGCTGACCCCAGCTGTCACTGTTCGAGAGGCGGGTCACACCCTGGACTGTTCACCAGCCAATCACAGAGCTGACATATAGAGACAGGCAACCAGACACACTCACATTCACACCTACAGACAATAGAGTTTCCAGTTAACCTAACGATCATGTCTTTGGACTGCGGGAGGAAGACGGAGTACCCGGAGAGAACCCACACATGCACGAGGAGAACATGCAGACTCCTCACAGAGAGGCTCCTGTCAGACGGGGATTCAAACCAGGAACCTTCTCACAGCGCTAACCACTGAGCCACTGTGCAGCCCAGTAATGGAAGTATATTTCAAATATTATTCCTAAATTTCAACTTTCATTCTTACACATTTATCTCTTCTTTTGAGTCTCTGCATGCTACAGTTTGGCATCGTCACATCAAGCATACTGAAAGATTGTCATCAGACGGTTCAGAATGTTTTCTTTTCCAGATCACTGTGGCCCAGCAGATCCCCTGTGACAATCATGTCCTCCGTTAGATCAAATGAAACTACTGGAACAGGAACATCACTTGGGACTTATTATTTCTTAAAGCAAAAGTACTCGGCTGCAACTACTTTTCAATTGCTTTCCATCCTACTTAAACGTATCTGTAATATCATAGCCCTGTTATAATAAGTGTTCACTGTAACGCTCTATCATGGAGGATACAAATATATCAAAAAACATTTAGTTTCACACACAAGTGTGTCTTAGGTTTGAGATGACGTGACCACCTTATCTGACTTTCCAAACAAAAGGATTGTAAAGTGACTTTGGCCTCACCTCTTAGGCGACTGGGCCTGTGCCCAGTAAACCTGTTTGGTAATCCAACCCTTGAGACAATGGACGTATATGAAGAGCACCATGTTTGTAGACTACCAGTATAACTGTATCAACCACCATTAAGCTTAAAAAGCCTTAAAGACCAGTTCAAGACAAAGAGTGACTGGCCTGCTCCATCATTAAGTCTTATTCTAACTGCTTTGGCTGAGTTAGTCTGCATTGACCACATATCTTTGAATGTTGTTGGAGCAGTTCTTTTCATTGTATAAAGTCGATACAACATCCATGAAGTGACCGAGAGGTTCTGAAAGCTGTGCTGCTGAGCACTAGGTAAACCTACCAGGATCTTATATACAGATTGGATAAACTAATGCACAGCACCAAAGGATCACTCAGTTGGAACCTGTCTTAGGTTTTGTGAAAAATAAATCATTTTGTTTTGTTGTGAAATTGAAAACCTGTTGGTCATGTGACTGTAAACTTGAATCACACTGGTTTCATATTTGTGACACTTCCTCCTCCTCCTCCTGTCTGATCCCTCTTTCTCTGCCTCCTTTGCTCTTCTGATAACAAAGCCGCTCTCCCTCCTCCTCCTCCTCCATCATGGCAGGCTGCAGGTGCTGTTTGAAATGGCGGGGGGAGAGAGGAGGAGAAAAGCAGAGCAGCTGCACAGAAAACCAGAAGTGGAACTGGATCCTACAATTCTACAATTCACTTAGCAGACTTTTTTTCCAAAGTGACGTACATCAGCGAATAAGTACAACACAAGCAAGGATCTAGAAAAAAGGGAACAATGTCAATAAGAGCAAATGATCAGCTTTGAGTCCGATTGGACACATAGGTGCTGACAGGAAGTGACCAGAGGGGCTGACAGGAAGTGACCAGAGGGGCTGACAGGAAGTGACCAGAGGCAAAACACAACATTGACGGCAGTTCTTGAGAGCTCTAATCAGTATAGAAACCATCTTATAAATGTTATCAAACAAAAACCATCGTCATTACCATCATCATCATCATCATCATCAATAATATGGAGACCATCATCATTAAGTTAGTAGGTATTCATGAAAGAGCTGGCTCTTTAGCTTTTTCTTAAAGGTTAAAGGCTTAAAATTTGGAGGTTCGTTCCACCACTGGGGGGAGACAGAGGAGAAGGGTCTAGTGTGCGTCTTAAATGGTAAATGGACTTGAGCTTATATAGCGCTTTTCTAGTCACCTACACATTCACACACTGATGATAGAGGCTACTGAG